CCCCCCCCCCCCCCCAGTTCTGTCCACTAAGCGATACGGCTTAAGCAGTTCTCCACCCCTGCAATCCCTATTCTGGCTGGGTGAGATAGCAGTTCAACTTCCTTGAGTCTCACACAGCGAGTGCTCATCATCGCCATCTCTCTCTTACACATATGCAAGCTTGTTAAAAATGGCTTATCCTAGTAAGACTGCAATATCTGAAAACAGAACTTTTCCTTCCAGCTAACAAGGTCTCTCCTGAACACAGTCCTGTGACTGCAAGCAGAATCCCACTGCTGACTTGTACATGGGTTATGGAGAAGAGGGGCAACACCACGATGGATCACACTTTCTGGGGTTTGTTATCTCAGGGAGAATGTGTGACTACTAATAAGCACAAGCATAAATTTGTATCTTGCTGCAGCTACCCGAATCAGCTACAAAGCCGTACCTGTCTGTGTTCCACAGGAGTCTGAATACAATCTGTCTGAATGTGTCGTGAATATCAGTTTTCTATTTCTTGGGAAGAGCAAGGGCCCACTATAGATAAATGGATTGGTAAGCCACGCCTGTTTATACAGACCTTATGTGCGAAAGAGATGATTTAGAGTGTGACTTCTGTCTCAACTGGTGGCATGCGCAGAAGCTTTCACCTTCCTTACTGTGGGCCTCCAATTCAAGCCCTGGAGAAGCTACATGACTCAACTTATGCAGTGCAAACCACGCACAACCTGAACAGGATCTCTCTCCAAAAGAAAAAGTATCAATTAGCATACACTGGGCTGTCCAACTCCAACTGATGGATGATTTGGAGGCTGGCACCTTGCTTCCCCCCTTTAAAAGAAAAAGACTGAGAAATAAAATAAGGAGGGGCACGGAGTCTGAGCTGCATTGGCAAAGGTGCCATCCTGGGGACCCAGAATCCTGGGGGATGAGATGGTCTTGATGGTCACTAATGTGGCAGCGGCCAAGCAATGGCCTGGAGCCACTCTTGGTATCCCACACTGACCAACACCTGGGTTCTAATATTCTTGTGATTTTTCCCATGACCATGGTTTAGAGTGCAAACCAGCTAGGGCCACCAGCACCCAAATGCTCATGTTCTGAAGTGCCTTTTCAGCATAAGCCAACTGCAATAATCTAGGTCTGTGTTTGACAAGCTTTGCAAAACATGCTTCAAGAATAACAAATAAAAAACATACAACATGAATCCTGGAATAACGTGTAAGACATCCTAACAAGGATCTGGACAGTACTAATTCCCAGTGTGATTTATTGCTTGGGATTTTACAAACCCAATTATATTTCAGGCCTTTTCCTGAGGCACTTTAAGCTTCCGCTGTTAGCAACTCAAACTTCTAAACAAAAAGTAATATGAATACAGGACTGCTTTGAATTAACAGACTAACTGGGGAAAGGGAGTTCCGTTATTCCAGACTATCTGTTAAACCTAAAAGTATGCCACGTATATCACTCTATGTGTTTGCATTATGACCCTATTACAAAAGTAGGTATTTTGCATTGTTTTATGCCACTACACAAATGATATCTACTGCCTCTGATTTCAAGGGGTACGTCCAGAAGGAAATTTGGTCTGTTGCATCCACCATCCGGTGAATGAAGTTCTGTTAAATTGAGGTTTTACTGGACTGGTAACTTACTGAAACTGACTGCTGAAACCATTCTAGATGTATTAAAATGAACCAAAAGCTAACGTATTTTCTCCTTTTTATAGATTTATATTATTCTGGTATCTAATGGTCACGATACTTTGTTTTGAACAACATATTAAATTACAGTTTCCAGACACGGTGGCAACGTTTTATCTAATGAACATTGCTGGGACAAGAAATGCTGCCAGTACTGTGTGTCATTCTGAGGACAAGTAAAATAAAGTTGCCTTTTAAGATCACTAAGAGAAACGCTTAATGTTAACTTATCTTTAAGCAAATAGAACAAATAGCTTTATTGCATTCAGTAATGTCTAACTAAGACTGAACTGAAGAGTGAGCTATTAAAGCTATACCAGGCAGAAGTTCAGAGTGGTAAAAATCTGTAAAACAAACAGCATCTAGTTTCTTTTGCTTTTCTATTTTGCTTTTCTTCGCCCTCTTCCTGTGAGGTGCCTGCTGGGAAACCTTGACTGGGCAGTCAGCAGGTTCAAAGGTAAGCTGGATTCTAGCCACCTGTCACTATAATGACGAAGACTCCTTATCAATGACCACAGAAAGAAAAATACCCTCCGTAGTCAATACTTTTGATCCAGGCATTATTCTCAAACCCAGTATGAACCAGAATCATTTTCCTATCGCACCTGTACTTTTATACAGCATCCCTGTCATGGTCCCAGCAGCAACTGTGTTCAGATCGTCTTCTGCGCCTCGTGTTTTTTCAATGATGACACCAAACGCGCTATACAGCAGTGCTGGAATGAAATTAAAACGTCCATCAAATAAGCATGACACAGCGACAGGATTGTGATTTCAGCATCAACTTTTTTTTTTTCTGCTTAAGGCTGGCTTGGAAAAAGACATCTCTAACCAGGGGAGAACAAGTATTTCCTATCCTTCTCACAGAACTTATGAATGCAGACTATTAGCAATTGTTGTGAATCTGCAAGATCAGCAGACTGTCCAGGAGTTCAGCTTAACTGATGTGAGGCCCCAACTAAAGCTGTAGGAATGGTTGCTATTTTCATATTTGATCAGCTGCACTGTTCCTGCATGCTTAGCCTCATCACCAGCAGCAAACTACAACAATGGATAAGCCAATTAGCTGTTTCAACTGTCCTCCTGAAACTACTGCACACTGGATTTAGGAGAAAGCAAGCACAGGATTACAGAACCACAAAAGGGAACAATGGACATGTCTTTCTTAAGCAACAGTGTGCCATGAAGAATTTTTTTGAAACTCAGATTAGATTTAAAAGTTGTTTACATATCTCCACCCTCTGAAAGCAAAAAATATCTCTGCCATCCCAAAAATCTTGGGCATGCCACAATTAGTGCTCAGAATCCCTATCACTGGCTTGTAAACAGTTATTATTTATCTTGCTCTATTTTTAATAGCAAAAGACAATTCAATTATACTAGATGAAAAAAATCACTCAAGTTGTGTTTGACCCTGGTGGTGGTGCTACAGTGGTGGCCCCCCGTCCAAATACTGACCCTGTTCAGCTTTGCCAAGGCAGCCACGATCAACTAGGTGCTGCCATCTGCTGACAAGAGTGACCCCTTCCTACATTTGCACTGCCATTCATGTTAGACTTCAAGATACACACATGTACACAAACCCAGATCTAATTACAGAAGATGTTAAGAACATCTTAAACAAAACAAAAATATTTTTCAAGCTAATGAGATGGTAAGGACTGATCTGGGGATTTGTAGCTTCAGGCTAGCCTGAGTGAGTCACTTTTCTCATCTGCGCCTCTCTCCAGGAGTCTATGACTCCACTGAATCTATAATATTTGCACAAAAACAGGTCAGGGTAAAAGATCAGGAACATGGAGAAATATTACACAAGAAAACAAACACAGCTGGGAAGCATCTGTTAATATATCATCTTCACGATAGGAATCTTGAACGCAGTCATCTTTGAGCCCAAGCGTTACGGGCTATTTTCTAGGGTTACAATCTAGAACTGCTCTGCAGACAGGGTAAAGCGGAGGTCTAAATCTTCAACGAACAGCATAATAATCAACAGTTTCAACCCATAACTGTGGACTGAAAGCGCTCTATGCCATTCAGCATTCGTTCCTGGGCCGTCACACAGTTCAAATGGTTCTCAAAACCTCCATCTCTGTTAATGTTCTAGATTTTCTGAAAAATGGAATTGTGTAGATTCCATTGTGGATTCCAATTGTGTGTATTTGTGAAATACGCATGCTTACCTAGAGATCCAAGCGTGTTGGCCCACAATGCACCTTGCCTTGTCACCATATTTAAAATCCTTGAAGAAAGTAACAAGAAGGATGTTTAATAGGACACCCAAATAATATGCCAGTCAATTTAACATTTTCTGCCACACCTTCTCTTATATAACTTGTTTTACATTAGGCAATGATGATTAAAGGATGAGCAAATCCTTGCCACAAAGAGGAACTGCACATTACACAAATATTTTCATGCAATCTTACTATGTAATACCTGGATTAGTAATGGAGTAAAAGTGAATTTACTGTCAACACATTTAGCCAACTTTAAGGCAGCTGGCACTGTCAAATACATCTGGAACTTCTGTGTTTATCCAATTCAATACTATCCAATCAATCTGTAGCCAAAAAAATGTTAAAACTACTTGCAGGTTTGGCATAATTAGCATTTACTACAACACAATTAATACAACAGCAAATATTCCAGCAATAGGCAGTTTAAATCGAGTAGCAAATGAACTGCTCTGGGAGATCCTGGAGAATCAATGATCTGCTCTAAAACAAGGCAGCTTCCTAGCAGAGTCTCACTTAAGGATCCCTTTAGCTTCTAAATTTTCAGCCCTGAGAAACACCAAACTACGTATCAACGTATTATTAAAACTTTTCTCCGTAAGAATGCTGGTTAAAAGTTTTTAACACTCCTTTTTGAGAAAAGCTTTGAAAAGCTGAATCTTCTGTTTTCTGATAGGACAATTCATTACAAAGCAAGAAAATGTCCAAACTGGGAGTCAGGTGCCAGGGAGTTCAAGGGTACCCATAGGCACAGTTTCATCTTCAGAAGGTAGGGCCCCGTGCTTTATCAAATGGTTTTCCTCTACTCTAACCTGAACTCCACTGTACCCTTCAATACAGCGCCAGTTTGTTTATTCATGCCCCGCTACTTACTCTGGATAAGTGAAGGTTCTGAAGACGTTTCATAGGACGCAAACTAGGTACAAACTCACAAAATTACAAATATTTACACAGGCATATTTTATATTTTATAAATTTAATAATGGAAATGGACATTCATTGTCAGATCATTCCCTAAGCTTCTATTTTTGGGTAGACTTGAAATTCAGGACAAATTCTCAAGAACCAGACACCTGCCTAGAGATTAAGTAGTACTTCACGTATAGTTTGCTCCTTAAACACAATATTTATTTTTTTCCCTCTACATATCTGGTTGAAATGGAATACAAGTGAAGAAGGCTGATGAAGGGCAATTCTTCCACACACAGAAATTAATTTTCTCTCTAATAATAAATCAGGGGAGGGGACTCCATCCTGTACTCAGTCAGGAATGAGTGTTTTCCATTTCACTGCTCTCACCCCAAGCTTCCACTTTTTCTCCCAGGCACTGCAGATGTTCCATTTTCATTTAATTCATCCTAATATGGGCATTTTTCGCTTTCAGCTATAAATATCTTTCTGTCATGCTAATGCCCTGACCATGCTAATACCATCTTTTTATTTCGGTTTCAGTGACAGTTATCTCTATACCAAGCAGTTGAGGCTGCTGTTGGAAAGAATGGTACCAAGACTTCTCATATAATTATACAGGGCTAATTTACAACTGTGAGATTATCGACTCTTTGATGAGTTTTTGAGAAGCAGCATCGGCAGCCAGATCAATAAAAGAGGCCTTCAATGACACATACGTGGAAAAAAAGAATTTCAATAATACTGACTGCTGTAGCTTTTGAAGAGACTGTTGGTACTGGGAATTGAAGTTTTACTCTTACTCTGTTGGCGAAACATCAGAAGATGGTGCTCAAGAATTATTCCAATATCCCTTGAAAATCAGGCTACTGGATTCCAGCACCACCTCCTGGGAATGGAAGTTAAGACAACCAGACCACTGCTTGATCCAGGTGGACAGGAAGCAAGAGGTAAAACAACCTTGTCCCCAGCAGAAACCCCACCCCCCCAACAGGATGCCAGCAGTTCAGAGACTTGGCTGGTAGAAGACTTTGTCTGTTCCCAGGCTACTATGTACGACAGAAAAGTGGAGTGGTCACATCCTGTAGGAATTCCATTTTATTACCAGGTGCCTTACCTGACAGCTTGTCATCAGTGAGCACATGCTAAGACAGCCATTCCACTGCCTGTCTCTCTCTCTCCTCCCGAGAGAGCACTTGGCCATCCCAAGCACCTTATGCTAAGGGAATTTCAGCATCCACACTGTGGCTGCTCTGTTGGGGACAGATCAGGAGCACAGACTTATCCCACTTTGGGGCAGCGTGCAGCAGGGCAAGATGGGCTTGGTGATCTAGTTAGGCAGCCTGACAGCCTGAAGGTGGATGAACCCGAAGTAACTCTGCTGTCAGAGATGGATCATTTCCTGGTCAGCTTTAGGAAACACCTGGTATGGATCTCCCAAGGGTGGAGGACCAGTTAATAAGGCTCGACCCCGCTGCCTGACGGATCTGGATGGTTCTGGTTCGGCTAGACTGGTTTTACCATGAATTTCATTTTTCAGATCTATATTTATGTGTTGACAACTTTTTCTGGTTTCATGAGGCCATTCAGATTGTGAATCAGCCATAAATTTTCAAATTACAGGGCAATGTACAAATACCCTAGAGATATAATTTAAAATACACGGTAACTGTAAATTCACTACATTTCTAAGTGCTAGAAAACCTACGAATTAAACGTGTCCTAATATGCATTAGCACCTTCTCTTCATAAATCAAAGGCACATACGCCGTACCAGAGAAACACTTGTGTATGCTTCCAGACTAGCGCTGACCAGGATGGGTTTTGCTCAGCACACTCTCAGTGAAGCACAGTACTGCCCACGCTGTGTCTACTGTCTCCAGAACAGAGACAGTGGCCGGCAGCTACTGAGACAGTACATTTTTCTTCCAGTAGTGTAACACTATCAAAGACGTGAAAGTAACTAAGACAGCTGACTACCACTGGAAAGTAGGCACAAAGTATTCAAAAGTGTCTTCCACTCACAGAAAAATGTTCTGCCTTGTGTTAGAGCCCCAAGCAGATGAAACCAAGAGGCCCTTTCTGTAGTACAAGTCCTGAAGACAGGGAAACATGAGACAAACTAACTGAATTTACACCACTGCGTGTGATGAAAGTATACTCTGGCACACTACAAGCAGTCGTTGAACATTGGTAGCAACTATTGCATGGTTCTTTGGATCCAGCCTGTTTATTTCAGGTTCATGTGTTATCAATGTCACATTTCATTTTAACTTACCTGCACGTAAGGAAAGCCAGTTTGTTGAAAACAGCAAGCTAAAGTCAATATTGCAAACAAGCAAAGTAATTGTGTCTTGTTTGGCAAATCCCCTGGTTTTTTCAGTTAATCTCCCCTTGCAGTGGATCGGTTAGAAGGCCAAAAATAAAGCAGGAAGCAGCCAGGAAATAACAATTAACTTTTTTTGTGGTTTATATTTGTGTCCTGGCCAAGCCTCTAACGAATCCTCACCAGAGGAAGAACTGCTGAGAATGATCTTTTACTGTAATCAGGAAATCAGCAAAAGGCATGGCTAAGATTGGTCCACTGCTTTGAAACAAACAAAAGCTTATTTTCTACCTTCATGCTCATATCACTATAACTCATGATTCAAACAACAACCATTACAGCTTAATGTGAAATGAATAGGAGTAAAGTCCATATATCCATTCCTTCTAGGCTGGGAAAACAAGCTTGCAAAGAAATACACTCTATGCCCCTGGGGCAGCAAACTGATACATCACACAAAGGAGATACACAGATGCAGGAATACTTTACCAAGCTAGGATATCTATACAGAAGTGGGAGCCTGCTTGTGAAAATGGCTCCTTCTTGACTCAAGGCAGGATTTCACAAACTCTGTGGTGCCATGATCCTGCCCCCCGCCCCCGCACAAATAATGATGCTGATGAGAACAGTGAGCAAGCACACTGGTTTTTTTTACTAGCAGCTCCCCAAAGTGGCGAGCTTGTCCTGGCTCTATGGGACACCCTGCCCAAATCTGTGCTTCCCCTCCTCATTAGGTGTGCACCATGAGCTTGATCCCTCCGGCCTTCTCCAGATGCTGCGCTCTCTACCTGCCTGCCTCTCAATCCTTCTGGCCCCCCAGAAATTTGCAATCCCCCACAAATTTTCTCACAACCCACCCATGCTTGCAGAACAAAGCAGCACTACAAGAAATGACCTTCACCGTGTCTTCCTCAAAGTCCACAAAGACTAACTGAAGTTTGGTGCCACCTGCTGGTTCAGGTGATCTCTCTCCTATTTGACCATTTTTAGTCTAAAATTATCTCCAGAAGGATCTAATTATTAGTCACACTGTTCCCCATTCACCCGGGCAGAAAATGCAAAAATGCACCATCTATAGCCAATTTAAATGCAACTGCCATTTCAAAATAAACCAACGATGACACAGTTATGCGGCACCATTCTAATGTCATTTGGGGCTTTCCATAAAGATCCACCTCAGTCCTCAGTTTTAAGGAAAGATCGACATCTTAATACCAGGAAGCACAAATTTAAAATTTTAAAAAGGAAGCTGAAAAACACGCCAGCATCAAAAAGGCAGATGTGCAGAGCGTGGCCGGAAAGTGCTTTAGTGTTTCAACCACTAGCAAAGGAACAAACTATCTGGAGAGCAAAGGGATTACCAATAGACAGACATCATCGGGTAAGGTTACAAGAGAAGTAATAATTAATTTGAACCTTCTATTCCCAGCACCAGCCAAAACCCCTCAAATTAATATGAAATCTATTTTTAAAAAATGAGGTTATTTGCAAGTTTACCAGGTTGTCTAACTTGGGTTTTGGAGGCATGACAGGGAATAACAGGAATTTTTTTAAAAAATCACCCCTTTGAGCTCTTTCCTCTCATTTAAAGTGTTTGTTTTTTAAAGGAGAATGATGAGATTTTTGTATTTATCAAATATTAAACTCATCCAAACTTAAGACTTCTTAGCAGAACAGGGAAAGACTATCTTCGGGAACAGAATAATTCATATTCTTGCCTACACCCGAGCTTCTTTTACACTACATCTACAACGGCCTTAATTTGCCCCAATGTCCAGCAAACTGGAACAGAGACTAAGCAAGCATGCGAGATCCACACTGGCTGCGCATCAAGAATTGCTTTGGATTCTCAAAACAGAGAAGAATGTAAACGGCCTTTAATGAAATCAAGTACTTACTGTACATTCCTAGGTTTGGACCAAGCCATGTTTTGTGTCTCCTTCAGACCCAGCCTCAGGCCATTTAATGCACCAAAGGCAGCTCCTATTCAGATAAATCAGAACAGAATAATATACGTACAGAAGATGATTAATCTCGTGCTTATATTTAAGCCAATGAATTGTTCTCCAACATTACTACGATCTTCATGCTTTTGTTAGTCACATTATAGAAATGGAAAGCATGGAAATTTTACAATGTAATGGAGGCCTGAATTAAGGGAGATACCAGCACCTTTCCTCAATCTTTCTTGGCTCCACTCTTGAATATTCCTTTCTCTATGTTTTTTGTTCTTGTTTCTCTCCCTACCATAACCCAAAACACTAATACTATTCTCAACCAGGCCTGAATAAAAGTGAATATCGTATCTTAGAGTGAGTCCCTAAAATATAATAAAGTATGCTAAAAAAAAAAAAAATACACCTCTCCAAGCAATTTTCAACAATCTTTATATTGCTTACAAAACAACTAAAGCCAAATGAACAAAATATAAATATCTGTTTATTTAAAAAACTGAGTCGTATACAATATATATATAATATACTAGGGATTTTTAAACTGTGGGTTGGAACATACTGAGATATTGCAAGCAAATAGGGGGGAGGGAGAATTAAATCGCTTTTAAAACCTGATCAGGTTTGTGCGTGCAAAGTGGGAATTGCAGTACCACCACATCTGAGAATTCTTGTGACAGAGATTAAAACTTAATTATTAAAGGTGGTATATTTATTTCTTGCCCAACTCTGTCTCAAACTGTCTCCAAAATGGTGATCACAGGTCACAAGGCAGTACTTGCATCTTCCAATAATGTAACACTGTTGAATATGGCACCAATTGAGACAGCTGCCTTGGCACCGGACCTGAGCATCAAGCAACAGAATTAAGGTTGCAGGAAAACATTTCATTATGTATTTTGAGCGCTGGACACCCTGGAGACTATATCGCTATGCTACAAATGTATTAAGTTTGGTTGTGTGATTTTAATCTGCCCATGGAAAAAGAGTACAAAGGCTAACCAAGGGAGCAAAAAGAAGACTGGGTGCTTTTCGTTACACATTGATATACTACCTTCCCCTGAACCTGCTTGTATAATAATCCCAAGTTTGTACTGCTTGTTTTAATCATAGGATACATTCAGTTTCACAAACTGGGGTTGTCAGCATCTGATACATACCAAATATAGCAACTTTATCTGTGCCCCCCACCTCCAAGAGAATTTCGAAGAAGTGGCTATTTCTTTGTATGCATACATTCTATTCTACTGAATAGAAACATCAGTCCAGCATCATGATGAAGAATGATGACCTACCTGTTATACAACAACCTCCAATCGTAAAGAATGCCAGTTCAAACCTGCCCCTGGTTTTACTTGCTCCAGTGGGTAAAATGAATTCATCTGTGTCCTGGAACAGAAATATCCTTTTCATCTATATTTGTATACGAGCTCCTTGGTTTCACAAAAAAAGCACAAGATACTCATTTTATTATAGTGTTTACGGCAAACTGTTAATTGTCTGTGCACACAGTAAATAAAATAGAAGGGAAAAATAAGAATCTACCCATTTTACTCCTGAATGTTCAAATAAAGTTACTAGTGAGCCCTACAAAAGGGAACTATTATATTTATACAGTGCAAATAAATGTTAGTTAACTTAATTATCCAGCATCAACTGAGAACCTGTAATACATTCTCAGTCCAGTATTAGTCACTTATCAATGCGGCTGATGAAATAAGCTGTACCAACACTGTTGCATAATGCTTCAGAAATGAAAGCCAACCCATGCCTGTGTATGCTTCCAGACTAGTGCTGACCAGGAGGTTTTCTGCTCAACACACTCTCAGAAAAGCACAATACTGTTCAACACTGGTGTCAGTTGCCTCCAGAACGGAGAAAATGACAGACAGCTAAAACACACAGTACCTTTATCTCCCAGCAGTGTAACACTGTCAAAGACACAGTTTTGACACAGACAGCTGACCACCACTGGAATTTAGGAACAAAATATATTCAGAATCACCAGCTCTGAGATTAGGGCCAGTTCTATAGATGGGAAGGCCTGGAAAAACCCACAGAAAAAAATAAGACAAAAAAACTTTCAGTTTTTTTCTTGAGATTGTTTTTTCTCTGAAAATTTGGAAAAATAAAGATGGATCATGACAGACTTTCTACTATTTTCTTTTTAAATGATATAAAGCGTGGAAAAAAAGTCTGATAGTTCTTCAAATTCAAAAACTAGCTAGTGGAACTAGCTAGTTAACTTTTCATTTGGCAATTGGGGGGAGAAAGGTGTAATCCACCCCAAATAGAGCAGAAATAAATTTGTACCATAACTTATGTTACACAAGTTTGTGTGACATATTTAGATTCTAAGATAGTGTTGTTCATGAGAGAGTAATCCATTTGTTTCTTACTTGACTTCATTTTCACACATTCCCACATACTTTGTGGGAGAAATATGTTTCCAACTGCAGTCAGTCAGATATTTCCAAAAAGTCCTCCAGGCAGAGAATAAAGACAGCAGTTCCTGACCACAAGCAACGATGCTCACCTGATTGCAAAGTCTTTATGTACATCGTACTTAGTTCCCTATGTTAATCTTATTCACAACCACTACCTTAAGTATTTAATATACACAATCACAAACTCAATGCATTTCTGAAAGGAATAATTTAATCACACACACAACTACTTTAATACACAAACATGAACATCTCACCTGTATAAGATATCTAGGGTCCACATTTAAATATGGGGACAAGGGATTCATTCCCGTCACTGAAAGAAAAAAAAAAAGGCTTCAGGTCTGAAAGTATGCCAATCAAAGAACTAGCATAAAAAAGAATTAAACAGAGAAGGCTACCTCTCATACGCACATCGAATTTCTAAGCTTGCTCCAAATTAAAGAAACCACGAATAGGTCTGTTTTAATAAGAATGTACAGATGTCAACAATCAGTTGTCAGTCCAAGAGAAATAAGATTTGAATTTGTAGGCATATATGTGTGCGTATAGTATGAGGTTTTTATCTGGCAGTTGCTGGTTTCCAGTCTAATTATGTCCTTTCTGATTTCTAGTATCTGAAATAAAATTAGCTAATCAAATAGCTATGTCCCTGAATCTGTGCTTGCTAGCCTTCATGTCTGAGTAGCAATTTAGTTGAAGCCTGACGTCAGGGACATATACTACCTTTAACCAAGGCTGGACAAAATGTCCCAGGTCACCTACAAATTATGTTTGGAAATTCAGTCTGCTTTGGACACCAGTGTGAAACCTCATTCTCCAGGGTTAAGCTAAAGCTTAAGAGAAAGTCATACTCAAATGCAGTATTTGGTTTTCATAATTACAATGATGCTAGCCTTGCTATGGAAGTCTAAAGTTGGACGCGTTACGTTAAGGAAGAACAACATGGGAAGGGCATAGGTTTCAAGCAAGGTGGTCCACACTGTGCGTCCTCTGGATATGTTCAAGCGGAGTTAGGATCACCCTAACTGATAAATGAAGCCCATAAATAAAGAAACGATGGCTGAGGATTTGGGGACTTGTTGTTCAATATACCTGCAACAGGCAGCAGTAGTAGCAGGCAGACGAGCCCTGACTCACCAGGTAAGCAGGCTCGGGCCCGGGTGAGACGCCACCTGGAGACCCCAAAGGGCGACAGGCCAGCCTGGGGAAAGGCAGCAGCGCGCTGTTTCCAGAAAACCTCAATCCGAGGGAGACTTTCCCCAGATTAATTCCAGGGAGAGGAGAGCAGAAAGGCGCTCTGCTCTCGCCCACGCCGCGCCATTTCCACGCGCACGTGGGGGGAGGAGGACAGCAGACCCCCTTCCTCAAGAGAGGGGGGATCAGCGCGTGCGCCCCCAAGGGGCTTGGGACCCTCCGTCCCCCCCGGGCCTCATTCAGGCCGCCTGGACCCAAGAGCGCCCGATGAAATGTACGAGGGGCGGATTCGCCGCTTCCTCGCTTACCACGCAAGGGTATGCAGAGCCCCCGGGGCTGGGCGGCCAATGCGCTTAAAATCGCAACAACCCCGCCAAAGGGACGGTCCCTTCTCGCCCGGGCTGAGCGCGCCTCCGACGCCGAAAGCCGGGCGCCCCCGCCCTGGCG